TGGGCAGCGCTTTTGCGTAGTGGCGCACGAGGAATTTGGAAATCCAAATACGATTCGCTGCCAATGTTAAATTCTATACAGAGTTTCCTTGATGTCTTTACACGATTACGCAGTCTTCACCCTTTTCCATGGCTGTAATTATCGCATTGTCGAGTTTGCATTGACCGATGGTACTCGTGCATTATTAGGCGTGCTTCTGCTCATAGCTTTGGCCCAAGACACCAGCCCCGAGCCTTCTGATGAATCTATTGAGGGGGCGTGGACCATATTCTCCTACAACCCAGGTGCATGCTGATGGACGAATGCGCCTGCCCTTGGAGGACTGGTGCAATAGATTGCGTGGTGAAAGAAAAAATTACAGTCCTAGTTCCTTGGACTGGTGGCATCGTCTAGGGCAGTACAGAGCACGATATCTGATGATCTTGTCGGTAAACAACCTACTGGTAGCTTTTGTGATTTCGGTATGAAAACCAATCAAAGGTTCCTATAATTTCTTATCCATCGTTGCCAGATTGTTGTGGGTTTCTGAACATGGAGAGGCTCATTTCTTCTTCCTCATTATGGTGAACGAGAATACCAGGTTCCTTAATCTGTAATTGCTGCTTTGTCCTGTCATGTTTTGATCTTTGGCCTATTGAATTTCTGTGAAGTTTAATGCTATTTTGTATCTGAGATCATGAGAAAGGGGCATGTCATAGAGATCTCCGTGACTACGCTCTATAGCTCTCTTTTAGGCTACGCATATTTGAGGCAACATTGGGATAGACACAGAGCAAATTTACAAGCAGCAAGCATAGAGCCCCTTTGCTTTAGGGTTGTTAGACTTGAATATCTTCATTCCATCCTGGCAGTGTAACAGAGCATTGGAAACATGTACAACTGGCAGCATCGCAAACGCACCTGAGCCACGGCGTATTTTCTCAGCAGGGCTCAGAGTGCGCAAGGTCGAATAAAGGCACCTTTTCCAGGAGGACAGATTCTCATTGTCGTCTTGGCCATTGTTGATTCCTATCTACAGAGCATGAACACTGGGTACCATTGCCCCCGTTTGCTTTCCCCATTGTAGGTTTCTTCTAAGATGAATCACGTCAAGAAATAATCTCCCTAGCACCTCTTGATGCAATCGCTAGTGCTTTTGGCTCCGATAACGCAAGGACTTGCAAAGCCCACTACAAAAGAGAACACCAGCAACACGATACTCCCCGATAGTTTCGCGGCATCCACCGTGCCGCGTGCAGCAAATCTACCGTATGGCATGGGCATCGGCTGAGCTGCGGCGTCCTTATGTCTCAGGCAGCGATACGAGCGGTCAGCCTGACGACACTGCCGACGGCACACTCACCAACATCGCTGGAAACGTGTACGAGGGCACTTTCACAAAGCCGGATGGAACAGGTGCTGCAACCCTCATCGGCTTCTTTGAGCTGGACACGGGCGAGTACTCTGGCGGCTCTATCTGCAAGGGGTGTGGCCACGGTGGAATTACGGTGACCGGGGCGTTTCGCGCTAGCAAGGAGGGTGGTGGCATGGAAGGCCCTTGGGCGGCTATTGGCATGAGCGCGACCGGCTATTGTAAATTCCGGCGGAATCAGGGCGGCGAGACGACAGTTTGAATGCGTTTGGCCGCATCAGCGACATACTGAACCGAAATTAACAAAAGAGATTCAAGTGCAATTCAAATTTCTGCACGTGCATTGTTTGTGTGCGCCAGAACGTGCTGGCGCGATGCCCTAACAATTGCCGAGAAATGTTCGGAGGATCCGCTGCCTCGCGGGGTAGGTGGCACAGTTGTTTAGTGAGTGTGTGTTGGTTCCATTTTTTGGTACACATTTGGGTGGAATGATGGATGGGGCTTTTTGCCAATGGCGCTTCGATTGTTCACACAAAATTTATGCAATGGATTTCATGTGGCTTGGTTTCGGGCAATGGAAAGGTGATAAGTAGTTTTCGGAATTGAACCAGGCCTGGGTTTCAGACATGTCGATGCAGTGTATATAGAACTACCGTGACTTTCAGTACATTGATGCGATGGGCGGAGGGAGGTTCACATATCATTCCCAACTTTTTCAACATGCTCTTGTAGTTTTCTCTTGGATGTGCGGTCCCGCCATGACAGGGCTGATTTGTCGTTGGACATTACCACTGCCACAAAAAAAAAAAAAAAAAAAAAAAAACGCTTCTTTCAGCGTACTTGGTGTCAATTCTATGTTCCAGCATACAGCAAATTCTGTGCCGGTTGGATGTGCAATCTGTTAAAAACTCAACATGAACTACTCCATGTGTTCATGCAGCCAATCGCTCCGCGTGGCCGTCCAGGCGAGCGAACCTAATCCTATTCAGTTTCTGTTAATTTCCAAATTTTGATTTGCGAGGATTTACAGAAGTAGCTACTTTCCAGACTTTCAATGCGACTGGGCACCAAACAGTGGAAAGAGAGTGGAAGGCCCAGTAGCCGGATTGTGCATGAGTGAACGCATTTTGATTCCCATCCAGAAAATGGCTTTCAAGACATCTTCTTGGAACAGGGATCACTCGGGCTCATTACCGACGTGCACATCAATTTGAAAACAGTCTTAAATCTATAATTAGTAGATGAGTGCAATTGGCAGCATCATGGGCGGTCGTGGCAGCCCTGACCCGGTTGGGGGAAGGCGGCCCTCGCGGGATTGGGGGGGTGGGGGGACACCAAAATAATGGCCGAAGACGAAACGGAACATCCCAATTGAAATAGAGATAGACAAGATGGCTGTTGCAAGAGCCACTTGAACGTCTGGACGCTCTGCTGACAATAAAGAGCGTGTCAATGCGCCAGTGAACTTGGACGGCACCAGACCGGCATCAAACCTGCAGCAGACTGGCGCAACGTGTGCTCAATGCAGAATTGCAACTGTTCCCCCGGCCCCGTTTTCGGACAAGGCGGGCCGCCTGACTGCATACACGCATATGCCACCATCCGATCCTGGCTCCCGCTGCCTCTTCCCCCGTCTGGCCCACGGCTTGTGGCTAGAGGCCTCTTGCTGCCACACCACCCTACCTTCCGGTTCTTCAGGAGTCCACATGAAACCCATGCAGCAGTAGGTATGCCAACAATGCAGCCTCGAGGCTGAGGCCCAGAACTCTGGGCGCCTTACCCATGGATCCCCGCTCCAGGGAGTTGTCATATGTGACGACAGAAGCAACATTATCAATTACATAATATTCACCCGGTCATCACATTGATATAATGACCAAGACAGTATTTATATAGTCACCCATTTTATGTTGTCGATCTGGTCAGAATTGGGGGGCGAATAGGGCGATCTGAAGCCCTACTGGAATATTCCTTTTGGCGCGTGGGTGTGGCGCCGGTGGGAAGTTGTGGCTTGGGCAGCGCAGCACCGGGGGCATCGTGGTAGGGAGGAATTGGAGGTGGCGACCATCTGGGTGCGATGACCTGATGCCTCCGCCCACGGTGGCCATCTTGGAATGGGCCGCTTTGACAGGCGCCCCGCCACAGCTGCTTTCGTCATCCCTGGGGTAACGATTCCATTTGTTCCAATTTTACCATTTTACCAATTTTTCCATTTTTTCCATTTTCCCCAGGGACATCTTTGAATCGGCAGCTTGACGACTGCGGATTCGCAAACCCTACACATGCACAGCCACAATTCACAATGATCACCACAAGCCATCGCCCGCATCATGTTACGGGTTGCCTTCGGCTGTCCTAGGCTCGGGTGGCACTCTCGTTGCACGGCGACTGCCCTTCGCATCATGTTGTGGGTTGCCTCCGGCCGTCCTGGGCTCGGGTGGCAGGCACTCTCTCGTTGCACGGCGACTGCCCTTCCTACCCGAGGGTACCCGACGCACCATTGTTTTCAAATTTTTTCCATGTTTTCCATTTTTTGGGTTTTTCCATTTTTTGTTTTTTATTGTCGCCTCTGCGCCCAGACCCACCTGCAACCCCTTGCCGTGCGCCGCGCGTCCCGCCACAGCTCCTTTCGCCAGGACTGGGGTGTCGATTCCATTCTTTCCATATTTTCCTCTTTTGCTTTGTGTTTTTTGTTTTTTCCACCTTAGCGCCCTGACCTTCCTGCACCCCCTTGCCCCGCCCAAGGCGCGCACCCCGTCACAGATCCCCTTTGCCAGGACTGGGAGTCGATGCCGCGACGACAACGTCCTCGCGGGCCTCGCAGCAGGTGCGCCGCGTTCCGAGTCGCAAGTCAACTTACCGGCGCCGCAAGTCGGGACCCCAGCGCGATGCGACGTTGGGAAGTGGGCTTGATTGGAGCGGGCTCTGCTGCTTGGTCAGCGGATTTGGATGTGACATTTACTTGGGAGGGGGCGCCCTTTGTGTGACTTGTTTGCTTCTCTCTCTGAAACTCTTACCCCAGCCAAAGGGTGTGTTGGTGTGTGGCGGTGTGGATGGGGGGGGTTGGGGATTCAGCGAGGCTTTGCACGTCCTTTCTCAGTACCTGACGAGTGAGGAACAGAGCGGATGTATTGAATCATTTTGTTCTGATGGTTGCTACATAACGTGTTGAAAATAGTAATTAGTGCAACTTAGATGGAAATGGCGTTGGTGCCATGATCTCCAACATTTCTGTCATGCCATGTGCATTTCCTTGTATTCAAGGCAGCATTGGAGCCCAGCGAGTATGCATATCTTCCTGCACGTATATCATCGACTGTCACAGCCCCATACAGCTCTGGGGTGTCGCTGCTTGGCTGTGCATTCTGATAAATCTGTTGCTGTGGCTGCTGAGAAGCTCACAAAGCGAGTTGCACGAGTTGTTGCTGTGTGATCTTGAAGATCCCCGGTGCTATCATGCAAACCACCTGCAGTGGAAGCCATTCTGCCCTTTGCATTGGAGACTGCCTTGGGCCTCATTCGCGGCCGTATCCTCTCCCAGCCATGCTGTAATGTGGGGGTGGAGGAGCTGTGCAACGAACTAGCCAATGAGCTACAGAAGAAAGAGGAGGCATTGACAGCCCCGAGCGAGGCGGACTTGAAGGCGGCAATGCACGACCTGATGCTGGCGATGATGGGGGACATGTCTGAGGCAGGGATCCGTTCAAGGAAGGAGGACTACAACAAAGCAGAAGAATGGGTGGCAAATGCATTTTCGCTCCTGCCAACTCCGGTGCAGGTGGAAAACTCTTTGCACGTTGTTGTTCTGTATTGACAGCATAATCCTTTTTTCTGGTTCTTTCTCAACAAAGTGGTTCTATATTCCTAATTTCAGCAACGACTTTCTGCAGAGTGCCCGCATTCAGGGTTGAACAGACATATGACAGAATCCATATCTTTCCTGTGCATGCAGAAAGTGGAGGCCACAAAGATTGCTATAGTTTCTGGGTTTTTCTGCAGCCTAGGCTCAAGCAGGCTGCCAAAGGGCTTGTTGGCTTGGGTGCAGAGAGGTCAGCATCACTTACATCAACTCCTGCGGGAAGAGAATGTGAAAGAAGTGCTGCGAAGGGAAGAGAATGTGAAGAAGGCCTTGCGAAAAGAAGAGCTTGGGACTGTGGACAGCATTTTTGGTAGAACAGGAGAGCATTGGGATTTCACAACCAGTGTGGGCACAGTTATCAAGGGGTTCTTGGGACTGACACAGCGGAGTGGAATAGAGGAGTGTGGCCGTCTTATTGCTGGTGGGTGCTCTTTGGAGCAGCGCTTGGCTGATACTTCATTTACTGAAAAGCATGTGCTGAGGGCACATTCCAAAGGCGTGCTGTCATTGGCGGCAGCAAGGGATTGGTTGCTGTCAGGCACTTTGGACAGCACCATTCATGTGTGGAAGATGGGCACATGGGAGTGCATTCAGGTTCTTGTCGGGCACAATGGTGGGGTGCGTTCACTAGCTGTGGCACACGACTGGTTGGTCTCATGTTCGAATGACAAGACCATTCGAGTTTGGAACTTGGGCACCTGGGAGTGTGTAAATGTTCTGGAGGGACACGCTGACCGGGTGGCATCATTGGCCATGGCACAGGAATGGCTGGTATCTGGTTCTGATGATGCGACGATTCGAGTGTGGGACATGGACACATGGGAGTGCATTTGTGTTTTGGAGGAACACTACGATCCAGTGCAGTCATTGGTTGCTGCACAAGAATGGTTGATATCTGGTTCTGATGACACGGCCATTCGAATATGGAACGTGGGCACGTGGGAGTGTGTCTGTGTGCTGGATGGACACACTATGGGGGTGCGGTCGTTAGTTGTAGCACGAGAATGGTTGGTTTCATCTTCTGAAGATGGGACCATTCGAGTTTGGAGCATGGGTGCCTGGGAGTGCATTCACGTATTTAAGGGACACGCTGACACAGCGTACTCGAGTTGGCCCCAATCAGATGATGTGTCGTCATTGGCCACCCGCAGTCGGTGCCTGTACTCAGCTTCAATTGCCGACCACAGTATTCGGGTGTGGAGTATGGACACCTGGCAGTGCTTAAGAGTCCTGGAGGGACACAAGGATGAAGTTAATGCATTGTTGTTCGTGCATGACTGGCTGTTTTCTGGTTCTGATGATGATAGTATTCGAGTTTGGGGTGTTGTTCCCTGAACTTGTTTCTTTTCCTGTTGCGGAAGATATTCTATTCTGCAGATTTTTGTGGGCAATGTTGCCACATTTGGGGAGCCATTTTCGCCATGCGTCCAGTCCTGCCCACCATCGAGGGTCGGCAACCCACTAAATCAAACAGAATCACCTCCTATTGCAATTCTGGAATCCACTGGATTACATCAGCCAAAACAAAACAAAAAGCCGCCCCTGAAACATGGAAGGCAACGGTGGGCGCCATGCCGTCCCATTCGTCTGTTTGACAGCGCTTGTTCAATCGCCACTTCAATGGATCGCGTGTCTCCACATCAACCTCGTTTACACAGAGTTTCTGGTTGAACGACGTGAGGGGAACTAAGACTGGCACCCAGTCGGCCTCAACAGTCAGGAATCAATTGTTCAAACGATTCTCACTACTGCTCCATATTAAAGCAACCTTTCATTCCCAATGCCTGTAGCTTTCAATGTTGACAACAAAGGTTAAGTTAAGCGCTTTGAGTTTGCCACACCATGCCCCCTTGGTGGGGCGCTCCGACACCGGATAATGTGGCATCAGAGCACCAAGACACTCGAATTGCTTCGATGGTAGACGTTGCTTTGAAGTAGCTCACCTTGCCAAGTTGTTGCCATGGGGATGACTTCGCGGAGATGTCCAACTTTAAACTGCACTGCGATTTCTGATAGAAACAGCAGCGAAGGTGTGACAAAGACCCTCCCACATACATTAGTAGCCCTCCCTCATACCACTCCTTAGGCGCATAGAGACCTCGCCGGTGGGGCCACTGCAGAACATGCCCAGTAAATTCCACGCGCACATAAACGGTGAAGTAGGTGGAGATGGTTTAGGATTTGGCGTTAGGTTTTTAGGAATAGCTTATTTTATTAGGTTTTAGGGTTCACATGCACAGGGTCTTCGTCTGGTCTCCGTGTGCATGGTCCAGATTGGGAACATCCCAGGCACGGCCCTCCGCGGTTGATCCCCTCCCAACTTATTTCTTCCACGCACTTTTTCAACAGCCTAAAAGACCGCAAGTCATCTTCCCGATTCCCAGCCAGCAGGAAGAATGTATTATTCCCTTGGTCCTTTCTGTGGGGATCCCTCTACTTCTGCTGACAAGGCCTACGTGGGTCAGTGGGTCAGTGGGTCAGTGGGTCAGTGGGTTTGGGGTTTAGGGTGTCCGAAACAGGAAGGGATCTTCACGAAAAAGACAGGGGGACTCATTACATGCCCGGCGGGAGTGCCTGGCACGCAGGAGGACTCTGGGCAGGACGAGCCTGGAGGCCTGGTGATCGGCAGGTGCGGCGCTCTCGTCGTGTCGCGCTTCCCCTTCCCTACAGCCGCCCCTGCTCCGACACGTTTGGGCGGTGCCATGTTTCGGAGAATGCGCAAAGCCCCGGTGCGCCGGGAGCAACCCGCCCCACTGCGCCTAAGCAAGTGTACGCGACACTCTTTTTCATGCTGTGAGACGATGATTTAGAGCCTCCCACGCGAAGCGATTAACACACAACGCAAGAGGGCGGGGTGGGCGGGGGTGGGGTGGGGGTGGGGGCGCGACCTGTGACGCTAAGAGATTATGCGATTGGAACAAAGTCGACATAAGGTGGAAAGATGACTGAAAACGCTGCTTATCAGAGGCAAAACACTCGTGGCTTGTTCCTAAACTTCCCTGAAATGTTCAGTCTTCAAGAAAGTCTGAGAATGTATCAATTACAGCATCGAGTTTGCCCACCTTGCCTACAATGACAATCATAATCCCATTTTTATCCCACCAATATTTGTACAACTCTGAGCGCCTTTTCTTCTCAAAACCATTTAGAAATTGTACTCCACTGTTAGGTAATGTTGCTGAGCCATCCTGGCTTCGACAGAAAGATTGACGCCAAGTGGGTGGTGGGGTGTGGTCTGAGCTTAATGTCCAACTGATCCCAAGCGTAACAAAATCGACATAGCGCCTTCGCTAAATTGTCCCCGTGAGCGCCAAACACACTTGCTGAATTTAAGGCATCGTCCGCCCTTTGCAGGTGCTGCGATTTTATGGATCGATGAACCTTTTCATTCATGCGCATCGTTATGTCCGCTGATGCATGGCCATCCCCGACTCCTTCGATTTTCCCACCATGCCCCAGCAATATCATTACCGTTAGGTTGAGGGCAGCAAGTCGCCGGTCAGTACCACGCTCAGCATATCGTTGCAAAGTGCCTTCTGTTGGCAGTGGCGCCAGTGCTCGAGCCGACAAGCCACTGTGGCAGGAGTTTAGAGCCCCAAGGGAAGTGTACAACCCCCTGTCGTAGTGGCTGGGAGCGAGCGACAGCCCAGGAGCACCTACTTTGGATACCGACTTTGAAGGACAGAACCTAACCTGCAAGTGGCCTTGTTTTGGCCAATTCCACCAGTACCACGAGACTCGAGTGCAAAGTGCGACAAAGGGGGGGTTGCCCATTGGTCGCTGAGGGGTGTTCAGCATGGATTGCGACATGGGCAGCTCATAGCGGCCCCAACACGGCTTCTGCTACTGAAACGTCACAATGACCATGGATAGGCACAATGGATAAAATTTGCAGTTGACTGCTTTGAAGCGTAGCATCACTGTCTAGCGGACGCCAGGAGGAAGCAAATGCCACTTGCGATCAAGCCTCTCCTGCTGCCCCTCCTTATCATGCTCCACTTGGCAAAAATCTGTCCAACAAGGGAGTCGTCTTCTCAATGCCTCCAATCTTGCCCACCATCGAGGGTCGGCAGACCACGACATCAACCCAAATTCCACCCATTGCCATTCTGGGATACGCCGGCATTACTTTGGCCAAACACAACGAAAAATCCCACCCCTGAAACTTGCAAGGCAACGGCGGGCGCCACTCCCGCCCATACCGTCCGTTTTGCAGCACTCGCCTTTTCACCACATCAATGGATCGTGCGTCTCCGCACCAACTTCCATTCCACAGAAGTCCTGCTTGAAGGACGTGAGCGACGTCAAGGCAGGCTCCCAATCGGCCTGGATCGAGGGGCAGTGCTCCAGGCGGAGGGAGCGCAGCGACGTCAGGGCATCAAGGCCGTGGCCCTCAAGAGCAGGGCAATACATCAAACGCAACGATCGCAGGCATGTCATTCCGGCCAGACGGCCAAGGGCGTCGTCGTTGACACCATTGCCGCAGCTGCGCAGGCAGAGGGATGTCAGGGAGGCATGGTTGGCCATCTGTGTAAATATGTCGGGCGGGACCCCAGCGCCAACGATGGTCAAGTCTGTGAGAGACGGCTGCTCGCAGATTCTGCCGCCCCGGGTCATGTACAAGGGGACAAAGTTTCCTTCGATTTGGCGGCAACGCAGACTGAGGCTCGTAAGGGACGTCAGTCTCGATAGGTTGTCAATTGATTCCCAGCGCCAGAATCGCGGCAGCCCCTCCAGGCGCAGCTCCTCCAGGCGAGTCAGGTGCTGCAAGACATTGCATCCCTGCTCTGTCACAGTAGCTCGCCACTGCATGTTGAGGACGAGGCTCCTCAGCGTCCTCACCCGAAGCAGCCACTTCAGGCCGTCCTCCACCACCTTGCAGCCCGTCATCTCGACGCGCCTCAGCTCATACAGCTTTCGAAGGCACCTGTGCCCGACCTTTGTGATTTTGAATCCGTGGGGCAGTGTGAGCTCCTCGATTTGCGGAAACACATGGAGTATCCGTTGCATCGTGGCATTCTGGTACGGTATGCCCAGGCCAGCGGAAACAGGCTTGAGAGTCACGTGCCGAGTCACGCCGTTCGCCCACTGGTACCAATGCCTGTTCACCTGACGCGCCACCTTCATCACATCTTGCCAAGCTGCCTTTCCTTCCCCCTTTACGAACGCAGCTTTCATGGTGTCCAGTATGTGCATGGAGACGTCTGCCCACTCCCCGCAGGGAGCCACAGTTCCACCCTCACGTTGAGATGCAGGGTCTTCTGGCTCTTCTGACTCATCCCTTTGCCTGTGCGCCATGGAGAAGCGAATAGTGCTGCTCAGTTAGTTGGGTGGGCCCAGCAAAATCGAATGGTTGATCGATTGATTGGTTGACTGACTGATTGAAGGGCGACATTACTTGCAGCGTCCAAGAAGCAAAACAATGGTGCCAAACACTGCATTTCTGACCTGCTGGGGCATAAGAATGAGAATGCAATGTGCAGCGACCTCCAAGCTGTCTGTTGAGACTGCAGATAAACTATGTGCTCCATTTGAATATGAAATTAACACGGCATTTGTGCCTACAGGATTCCCTTGTGCTGCCCAATAAATTCACGAAAGACCATACATTTCAAAGTCGATTGGTGTCGTACACCATCAGCTGGCCCTCATTGCCACACATACTCTGATAATGCTCAAGCCAATCAAACTACGACTCACCTCGATTCTGTTCTCAATCTAGCACCCAACTGACTCTCCATCCCACACACAACAGAATTTCGTTATCTAGGGTGTGAATGGGAAACAGCAGACCAAAGTGGGAGTCCAAATGTCCGCAATACTCAGTCCCTCCAAACAGTTAATGGCTGATCTGGAATGACCCAAAGTACTAACTGACCCAAACTACAGTGGACACAAACGAAAGGGCACGTCCAGAAATGACTTTTAACGAAAGATTTTTCGAATTCAAACCATCGCCACACCCACCCGATCGGTCCCCTTGGCAGAATCCAATGACAAGAGAGCCGGTAACTGAGTGGAATAATTCCATTTCCACTTATGGAACATCATACTTAGTTACCTTCAAATGGATCCACAGCAACATCTCCCTGGACTGTGCAGTCCAAACCAAACTTCACCTCTGCACCAGAGCTAAAAATTTTGACATATAACCATCAAAATAACAAACAAACAATAAATACAATATGCCCATTTAACTCTGTATCAGCAAGTGTTCAGTCTGTCTGAACACCAGTTCAAGTACTCCCTACTGCGTTTTCAGAAGTCTCCATACTTTGCGGAGCGGTAAACATGTGTACAAAATTCCGCGTGTACCACTGTGTTGTTTATCTGATGCATCACATTGCCAACGCATCGTGTAGCTATGGCTCGCACCAGTGTAGTGGGTAGCAGAGAATACTATTGTAACAACATGACTTCAGAAACAGTTGGAACTTCTAAAGGAGTGGTGGAACGAGCTCTCACCAGCTTGCCTCTCCCCTTGAGTTTCCACACTCCAAATTGTAAATTGAGTGCACCTGCTGGCCATCCTGCACACACAAAACCATTACATGTCAAGCAGCCTGTGGCAGTCAAATACCCTCTCTTCTGCTGCTCATGAACATCGAAAGCGCCTGTGTCGTCAAGACTCAGCGATTGGCTGAATGAACATAGTTGGGTCCCAATCTCAAAATTCCATCATTGCTCCTCAGGGGTCTGAATCTGGTAGAAGCCAGAATGGCTTTTGGAAGTCTAAGCATCCCCCCCCCCTTGCAAGTTCTGCAGCTTGCTTTTCTTTCCATGCTGACCAATGGATTTATGGTGTGCACTACAAGGCTGCAATAAACCAAGTACAAGTTCATGCTGTTGCACTGCTAATGTACTGCACTGGTGGCAAATGTGCCCAATGGGGTACTGAATGCATGCACTCTACAAATCTTTGCATGATGTTTCATGCAAGTATACAGTGACAAGCACACTTCCCAAGGACGATTAGCAACTTGAATCATTTGAAAGATTGCGTCCACTGGCCATCGACTTTGGGCCCAGACATCCACGTCTGCAAACCAAGCATTTTCACACAAGTCACGCAGGTTGTGACAATCGAGCCAGTTATGCAACTAAAAATCCATCCGTGCAAAGGAAGCACTGATCTACTACACCAGCAATAGCACAGCCATGTGCCCAGTATTTACTGAACAGCCAGCTTCATCCTCCCTCGCGGCCTTGAAACAATTTGAGCATGCGCTGCACGATGGCGGTACTTGGTACATGATGGAAGTGCAAATATTTACAGTGCTTTAGTCATTGCAGTGCAGTTCCTAACTCACTACTCACCTGTATAGCCGCCTTCTTGAACAGCAACAGTTCGTGATGGTACCTGGGAGAAAAACAAAGAGAAATAAATCAGTTGCCCGTCCAGTCTCATTTTGTGCTATTAGTAAATTATAATATCACCTGTGCGCTCAGATACACGTGTCATATGTGTTGATATCATAGCTACTGGGTATCAACGTCCCCAGTGCCCTGTAGACAACAGCAGATATCATTCAGTGCCTGTGCATACCAGCATGGCAAGTCCTTGACTACCGCTGGAGAGCAAAAGCAAGGTCAGAAGCACATTGTGGTCAGTAGTTATATATATCAAGCCCTTCCAACAACGATCAGCAAGGCAGCAACTTCATGCATTCATGTCTAGTAAACTCAAATATCAAGCGGTATAACCACGCCACTCGAAAAATTCACAGTACTGATGTAAACTACAGTGTGACAGTACCAGATTCTACATCATGAGGCACACACTTGGCTACACTAGTTGACATGTTCTCCAGCCCTGCTGCAAGATAGTCCATGCTCTCCTTCAGATGAGTGATGGCTGATTTATGACACCTCAATTCATCCTGTGCCACAGCCAGCCGCCGCTGAGCCAGCCTCTGTGAGAACACAGCCCAGATCAACACCTTTGGGCAATGGTCCAAACACCAACAATTTTCTTGTGGCACTTTGAGACACCCTTCATAGCAAAGGCCTTGTAACCAGGCTGTGCCAGCAACTCAAACAGTAGCACACATGGCTAGTACTTTACATTGCCTCAAATGAATTCCTTCAAAGCAATTGCCAAAGTAGTACAGCAGTTTTGCAATCAGCAGCACCCACCTCTGTTTCTTCCACCTGTTGGTGCAGCAGTGAAATGCTTTCCCTCAACAATTGATTTTCCGCCTGCAAGCAACTCAAGACAACTGAACATATCAGTAGATTGGTACATAAGTTAAATAGAATGAAACAAACTCTAACTATCTACCTATCTATCAAAATGTACATGAAAGTGTGTAATATGGCAACATTGAAAGAACAATACACCTTCCCATAAGTATTGCTTCAGATTTCTTTTCTGGAGGAAGTCTTGTTGAAACTCCACGAAAGCACAACAAATACATTCCCACTGCAACCACTGCCACACAAATGCCGATGTTCATCTGTCCCAGCAGTTGTGTGCATTGGCAGTGCATTTCTGCACTCCCACCTGGAGTTCAGAATTGGCACGGCTGTTGCCAGATGATCTGCTGATGGAATGCCTGGTGAGCTGCTGTGTCCCTAACTGTTGGCCCAAGGAGCTTCCTTCCTGCATTTGCCAAACCACACCAATTACAACCTTTGTAGTTAAACACAGTGCAGTGCAACCTAAGGCAGTTCAGTGTGACGGACACGCTTCCGGTTGGGTTTGGGCGGATCGTATTTGCCAAAGAGAAGTTGAGGGAATTCACGGCAGTTCAGGCAGCGTAGTTTGGAATCGTCAATGGTCTGCTGTGACAGCTAGGGTGGTCTGGGGAGTGTATAGTGTTCCGACTATTTTGGGGTGGCGTGAGACTGGAGGAGGTGAACAACAAGGAAAAGAGAACACTACAAACAAAATAACAACTACAATAACACAAAATGAGGTAAACTTTAGAAACAAACGAAGGACAACAAACATGACGTCTTTCTTTTTATGCCATAATCAACCCCCACACTTAATTTCCCAAAGTAATTTAGCATTGCCAACAATGAACTGTTGCTTAGCAATGGAAGCAGTGCCATTTGTCCCTAGTAGTTTGACATTGGAAACGGTGGATTTACAACCCAGACTGTGGCCATTATCCTGAATACTTTCAAAGTGCTTTTGGAGACAGTGTTTCAACAGTAATTTATCAGACAGCCAGTAGTTGTTCCAATCATTTTGTTGGGTTGGACAGGCGATGGCATATGAGTTGAGCAGCACGTCCAATACCAAAGCGCTCAAGACCCACTTTTTACCCAGCCAGAAGATGCCATTCTCAGCTGTTGCAGTTGTCAAAAGGTGAGGCAGCGTGCTGCCCCAGCATCTTTATTCAAGTTAGCTGCACTCGCAGCCATCATGCAATGGCGAGCCCGATGTGATGCAGATGCCGGCGATGCTCTCTGGGTGCGAATGACAAGTTGCGAATGAACATAAAGTCAAACAAGTCACTTGAGCCAGCAACACAAATTCAGAGGCGATGTCGAGCACTGATTCAAGAGCCATTCCAAACTAATTTGCAATTGCCGATGCAGCAAAATGTAAACAGCCACATCTGTTGGCATGCAAAATGCAGAGACGCCTACCACAAAGCAGGCATGGCTGTGGAAGTGGTCGCTTCCCGCACCAACTGGACTTTCTCCCATTCCTCTTCTTCCCACAACACCCCTTTTTTTACTCCATTCCGCTTTTTTCGTCCGCCGCCCTGAAGGAAATCCAAGAAAAGGAAAGCAAAAAAGAAAGACCACCTGAAAGAAGGAAAGAAAAAGAAAAGAAAGACCACCCACCTGCCCATCCTCTCCGCCTCCCCCCCGCGCCCTCTTTGCCCCGCGTTCCGCCGCCTCCGGCGCCAGAAACCCAGCCCGCTTGCCTGCCGCCAAAACTTGGCCTCCCGAGCTCCCCGCCATAATCTGCGGAATCAAAACGGGCCCTCCTCCTCCCCCACCCCGCAAAACCCCATCCTCAATTCTCGTGCCCGCCTCGAGACCGCTTGGCCCCACGAGGGCCCCAGATGCTGTCCTTAATGGCGCCGCCCGTGCGTTAGATTGACCGTGCGAAGTTTTCTGGGGTTGCTGCCTTAGGTTGGGCCTGGTACGGCCGGAAAAAAAGTAAGCGCTGTGAAGCTCACACGGCGGAAAGTGCCGTCTTGTACAGCGACAGAGCACCTGATGAACTTAACAAACCTGGGAAAAATAAACGTTGTAAAACGCACATGGCCCAAAATGCAGTTATGCACGTGAAAGAAGCATAGGTCAGCGCTGCGGTATTCACGATATGGTGCCCTCTGAACTGCCACCCAGTCCCAATGTAATACATGTGTATGCTTCAATGCAATACATATATTGTGTGGACAGCCGCCAGGACCTGCCAACAATCCACAGAAAACGACGCTGGAAAACTGCAGATCAGAAGCGCATGGACTGGAGACCCACATGGGAGTCAAGTATTTCACATGTGCAGATTTTCATCACATGTGTTTCATGTTCACAGATGAAACATCCCGTCATGTTTCTGGGCCAATGATACATTCGGGTTGATTGGATAAGTGTCAAAGTTCCTTTGCCATCCCGGTTCGAGATCCCACTCGTCGCAATCGAATGCGCGCAGCGATGGGCCACAACGCAGCACAAGTCAAGCCATTTTGGTTCGACCTCCGTGGCAACCTTGGTGCACGCGGTGCTCAAGCGCACTCCCTGTGCTTGGTCGGACAAGCAGCCAAGACTCAACTCGCAAGTTGAGTGGACACTCGTTTTTAAACAACCAAACCAAAAGAAGCAACGAACAAGTCTCGGGCTCTATGTAAACACCTGCTTGCGCCTCTTTCTCCGCCCACCAGAACTCACACTCAGAACGGCGGAACTCGCACTTCACACACGCACAAAAGCTACCCCACGGCACCGACCCATAGCATCGACCCGCGGCACTGACCCACAGCTCCAACCCATAGCACCAACTCATGATCACCAAAATTAGCAAGATTGAAGGTGAATGTCGGCCAGCCGTCCTCCCGCCATCTCAGTCAGGTCAACGTGCGCACCAGCCAGCCAGCACACGACAGGTGCTTGCACAACATGGCAGCTGCGGCCGTCTTGGTGCTGTTAATTAACAGCTTATAAGCTCGGCATTTGCCATCATGGCACAATGGCTGCGCCACATCAGCGCAACGATGGGCTCGCGGTTGCCGTATGGCAGCTGCTTGGGGCCAACCCACATTTGGCCGGTGAGGAGAGGGTGGACAACCACTCAGCGTTGTCAAAAAGCGAGTAACCACGCTGGCGTTAACTGAATTATCGTGAAGAAAAAATGACATCTGTATATGAGAAGGGAGACGTGCTTTGTCCCGAAGTAAGACGAAAGACCTGTCAGAAGCTAAGGAAACAGAACGGTTGACCAGACAATTGTGGTCATGATCATTAAACTTAAACACTTTAAACTGGCTCTTCAATCTGTATTAATTTTTTCATTGAGTTTCACTGCACATCAGTGTTTTAAATTAGCTCTTTAATCGCATTGAGTTCCACTGCACATCAGTGTCAAGCCACCTACCTCCAGTCATGAGAACGGAAAGCTGCACGTGAAACATCGAGAAAAGGTGACAGCCATTTAAAGATATTGTTGATGGCATTCCTCAAAACCGGGTTCTCACATGCCACCGTTTAACCACCGGATTACAAATCGGTAATCTGCAGAGGCTGTTCAGTGGTCAAATACTGTTAATTCGAACAAAAGCCAGAGCTGTTGCCATAACAAGGCTCAAAAATTGTACGGTACGAAATATTGCACGAATGGCTGCTGCGCCTCTTGTGCGCTACATGAGTAGCTCAGGATGTTTTGGATGCAAATCGTTTAAAATAAGGTTAAAGGACTGTGAAAAACCTCATCAAATGTGGGCAAATGCGTCAACCAACACAATTCCCAAAATGGAGTAGATCCCAATTTTTTTGTATTTTCTGACTGCTTCAAATGAAACAGTCTGAAGAGAGTACTGATGGACAATATGGATAAGCGTCTTGGGGCCAGAGTCACAGAGCACGACCTTTGCCCTGATTGTGTCTCTGCTGGTGGAAGTTGGGCTCGGCAGATGAGAAGCCAGGTGTGAAGTGAGGATCAGTACCGTTGAGTGAGCAGTTGTTTGTGCTCAGTCCTGAGCCTCTGCTACTCAGGTCCTGGGAGCTGGCTGGCAGGCCTTACAATACAGGGACAGCAGAAGGATGTGGACAGCGTATGGATGCAGCATGCACTTGACAAGTGAAAGTCAAGGGAAGTGCTCCGGCAATTGCAAACTACAAAATCCAGATGTTAGCATTTGTAGCACTCATCAAATGTGACCACATTTAACTGTACCAAACCCTGCACTATTTTTAATGCCACTGAGATGGCACAGCAGATGTCATACTTGCGCTTGCTCTGGGCGCTGCTCCAGGAATGGAAACTTGCCCCTACCATCAAAGTTCTGCTGCGGAGGCATCGATCATACACACCACCCACTCTCGCATAGGGCATATTTGATCGCCATCACAATGGAACCGCATGCCATTCCTTTGCAAGTCACTTCATTGCAGTCCAGCTGGACCAGCCACGAAGAATGCTGAGGTAAGGAATGTAGAGAAAAGAAAACACCCTTCCTTGTGTCGTAATTTACACCCATTTGCACAAGAAATACGGCCTGGCTAAGGACCTCAGCGCAGGGCATCCTTCAAACTCAACACAAGTGAGAAATCTCAAAGGTGCCAAATGCCACAACCCACGCCTCGTGATGTTTGTGCAGTATCTCAAATCCAAGGCCGCAAGGTTCGTCAGCCTTGTAAGTGTCCTCAATCCCTCTTCTGTGAGTTCATCGTTGTGTGCCAGTGCCAGCTTCGTCAAACATTGCAGGTTTCCCAGAAATTGACCATCAAAAGACTTTGCGACTTCGCCGCATGCGCACAGTGACAGATCGGTCAGCCGTGTGAGCCTCGAAATCCACCTCAACCCCACCATCGTTATCCTTTCGCATCCATTCAAGTTCAAATTCTTCAATCCAGTCAGAGCGCTAAAGACCATCACACCTTTGTCAGTCATCCATTCCAGAGAGAAACGAAGAGTCGTCAAATTTGTCAGTGTTGTTAACCTTTGGATGCCATCGATGGTGATATCCCTATCGATGCGTGTCCACACCGAAAGATTCAAGCTGACCAGGCGCGTGACCTCTGCAATCAACTTCAACCCTTCGTTTGAGGGGGCCAGCTCAAGTCTTGACAGTTTGCACAATTGTGTAAGCCAACTCAGTCCCCTGTTGGTCACCTCTTCCCCCCCATGAAATCTAAGATGGGAGATGCCAGTGAGGCTCCTCAGCGACCGCAGAGTTGTGTCCGAGGTGTTTGCAGGCAAGCTCAAATGCGTGAGCTTGGTGAGTGACTTGAGATGTTCCACACCACTGTCAGACATATGGTAGCTACACCCAACATCCAACGCCACAAGGTTTGTCATTGTACCCAACACCCTTGCTCCTTCATTTGAAAATCTGTCTTCGAAACCATCAGTATTCCCCAGCATGAGCTTTGCCAAGCCTGTCAACTTCGCCAAACGAACAATACCCACGTCTGAAATGTGCGAACAATCCTTGAGATTGACATCAGTAAGGGCGGGCAGCAAAGCTATTGTAGATAGTGAAGCATCTGTTATCCTATAGCACCGTTGCAAGCCAAGTTTCTCCAGGCATACCAAACTCACAAGCTGCCCCACTCCTTGGTCAGTGATATCGCACAAGAGAAATTCAAGGCTGACGAGTCCTGTCATTGCAGCTACATGCATCAATCTAAATTCGGCCACACCCCATTGACCCCATTGACATTCCACGTCATCGATCAACTTCAGATGACGCAGACGTGGTAATCGCTGCAGTGGCTGCAGGTCAGCGGCTTTCATGTCTGTCAGCGTTAGGGATTCCAATGCCGAGAAACAATTCACCAAGCCTTCGGTTCTCCGACGGAAGTCTCTACCAGGGAAGTATTCTCTCAATTTAGGGAGCTTTTCTTCGTCAAAGTACTCGTCGATAGTGACCGCGAGCACCTTGGTGGCCTGCGTGGCCCATTGGCACCAGTGGCGGTTCACCAGGCGCCCGCATTGGAGAAAGACGATGGCCTCATGCTCCGCCATCGCACGCCTTACGCCATCCAGCACATGAGGGAACAGATGGCTCCACCCCTGCACACAAATCGCTGCATTGGTGCGTGTGTAAACATATGATAAACAAATGAACAAATACATAAATAAACAAATAAATAAATACACATAGAAGCCATGCTGCACATGCACCTGGCAAACAACAGAGGAAATTTTCCTAATTTCTCTTCTTACATCTGTCACAACTTGATGAAGCAAATTCAATAATCCCTTTTTTAAAAAGGCTGATACACCACCGATTCACCAATCTCGTGATGCCGGGCAAACAGCTGATGGGGGCCAGCATTATTTGCAGCGAAACGTGGATGTGCCTTTTCCATAAAGAATAGGTTTGCAACTTGCAAATCCTTCCACCTGGCTGGTGCTTTTGCTAGAGCCTTCCTCCAGGTGCCTGCTGATCATCACGAAATGTGAACAAGGGCACCACCTGGTGCACAGACACAAACCTCTCAGAAAACTGACTGATGGACCGACTCAGTTGCACTGCGCCAATAAATGAATGCACTTTGTATCAACTGAGGCGTTGGTATGCTTGAATGGCAGAGAGTGATGGGCTGAATATTGCTGCATGGCACATTGGCAGGGTCACGATTGTGCTCCCTGCCACACATCGCAAGGTCCTGATCATGGAGAGGCACTAGGGCCACCAGCATGTGGGCAGAACTCGCAAAAAACAACATTATGGCAATGCCAAATGCGATGTCAAATGACGTCAAGTGGCAATCTCACAGCGTTTGCGATAGCACGGTCTAGAATCAAAGACATCGCAGTTGGCTCCGCCAAAATGATGTTATCTACCATCCCAAACCAGTATGCCACTTGATGAACAGGTCTATCTACAAGCAACCAGCAACGCACCCCTTCAGCCTCAAGCAAATCTGCGATGGGCCCCAAGTAGCACAATAGAATGCGAAGGTCCCCAGGTCGACCAGCACTGAGGCACCACATGAAGCGGCACGTTGCCCCAGTACATTGAGCAGTTTGGAACAAGGGCAGGATGGGAAAATTCACCCAGCCAGATGACAGAGGGATGCAGTGGAGGGGATTCCCAAGCTGAATATTGTTGTGGGAGAGATGCTTATGTTGTGTGTTCCCTGATATGCAGCGTATCCCTCACCCAACCTCCCACACGTCAACTAGCTCTTGTCAGCCCTCTGAGGCATGTCCACCACAGCAAATTCTGTATGCTCAGCAATTTCCTGGCGACCTCACACCATTGGCATGGAAGAGGTATTACCGGGGATTTTCTTTCGTTTTAAAACCGGCACAAAATCTCATCCACGACCGAGATCCACACAGCCAATCTGGCTCGCCCCTCGATCTCCCAACGCCGCGTCGCAGCAAAATGGCGCCCAAATCGCCATTCGCAAGCAACCATCCCCCTCATGCGGCTGAAACCCACCCGACCATCCACGCGCGTCAGCGCACCACTGCCACCGCCACCCAATCGCGCGCCACGGGCCATGCCCAGCTCCAATTCGCGGCGAGTCGCACAGATCTCCCCTCACGCGCGAGGGAGGCGCAGCGGCAGCTGGCGCCGCGACAGCCAGGCCCTCCCGCAGTGCCAATCGCCCATCGACATCCGACTTCCCTCGCCCGCCGCCGCCGGCGTTCGTTTTCCCCCACCTGAGATTCCGGCCAAGATCTCGCTGATTCGTAAAATTTTGTCCGTGCTTTCTTTTGCCGAATTCCCGTGGGCCAAGGCCGGATGCCCGCTTGGTTGGCGCGCCCGAGTCGCGTCGGCGGGGGCGCGCGAGAGAGAGCAGGGCCCCGTGGGCGCGCCCCGGTCACCCCGGTTGCAGGCAGGCTTGCCTCCAGGTAGCGGCAGCAGCGAGAGTGGCGCGCATCCAGCTGTTGCTGTTGCTGGTGTCCGATCAGTGCCAAAATGTTGGTTAAGGACATCGTTAAAGGACACACTTGTCGGGGTACTCCGATGGACCTCGGGGTCCACCGGCGGACTTGTTGCAGACACTGAAAGAAACAGGTCATACAAAGGCACCCCTCCCTAAGCAAGTGCATGCGAGGCTCTTTTCCATGGGTGAACGGTGTCCCTAAATTTGGGTCAAAGCCTGGGAAGAACAACCGTTTAGAACACATACCGCGGAGAGCACGGTCAACCAGTGGTTGACAATCATATAGCCAGAGTATCAGCCAGCGCAACGGGTTTCACAATATGGCGACCCCTTAACGGTCCCCCGGTCCCAATGTATGCCGAGTTGGGCGACGCGACACCGCGGACTAGTGACGATTCTCGCGTGGACGGCCGCCAGGCCTGCGTAAAACGCAAAAAAGAGCAGGCTGGAATACTGCAGATAAGATGCACGCGGATTGGAGGCCCAAAGGGCGAAACACCCCACCGGTGGGGTGAACCACCCCACCCGGATATACGGTACCGTATTTCTGGGTGAATGGCACATTCATGCAGATCGGGAAAGTCAGGGCTATGATCAGAAGGTTTAAAAGATGCACTTCGGACGAAGCTCAACGCGATTGGCAACTGCACCTCATGCACGCTACGCGGGTAGTTTAGTTCTCTTTTGATGCAGATCAATTCGGAAAAGGGCAAGAACACTGCCAATGTGACCGAATTGGCGTGAAATTAGTCGACATTAGATAGAGGCTAATGGAGAGTGTCCTGCAAGGAAATAGGTGGATACTTTGGGTCCGTGTCTTTGGGCACGGCGAGTTGGCACTGCCCTGGCGCTGTTCTCTTGTGAGCCTCTTCTGGGCGTGTTCCGGGA